ATGACGACCAGGGTAGATTTTCCCTCACTGGAAGCAAGATGTCTACCGAGCACCAACTCCGTGTACACTTCTTCTCGATTTTCTTCACGTTTGCTCTCATTTACCAAGAAATTGAAGGTATGAACGATAGCGAAATTGATGTTTTTATGTTATTGAAGAACTGTTTTATACATAAATGCTCGTAAAATTTTGATTTAGTGCTGAAGAACTGTAAGTTACAAGACGGCTTTGATTTCACGAAGGAAGAAGCATTGTTCAAAAGTAGTTACTTTTTAATTAACACAGTATCTTTATGGTAAAAACATGTCGAATAGTCGCACAGTGGCACTTACTAGTTTGTTCTGATTTCCACCGCAGGACTCAGCTTCAAAGCAGGAAAATTCAATGTGACCACAACTTTGAGTCTGTTTGCCTGTAAGAATGTTTCTTTTGAGGAGCCTTTTCACGGTAGACAAGAAATTAAAATTTTCATTTCTAAAAGCCATGCAACCGAAGGTTCTACTCAAGCTCGTGGAAATGGTGCAGCAATTTGGGTGGAATCTGTGAATAACAAGGCATTTACTGTCTGTGTTTTGGAATACGGAGATGGCTCAAGTGGCGCTTCGCAAGTGAACTGGATGGCGCTGCAATCTGTACCTGCTGGCGCTCAACTAGGCACAGCTTCTTTAAACGCCTGGACTACTGGAACAAAGTGTAAAAGAATCGCTTTTGAAAAGGTTCGATTAGTTCAGTTTTTCATTTTTTTTTGTAATTTCATTTCTTTTGTCTCCTACAAAAAAAAACCCTTCAGCCTTTCACTTTATACTCGTTATTTCATATGTCTATTCATAAAAAGTGCTGGAGTCATGCCCAAGTTTCAGAGTGTTTGACAACGTTGTTGTTGTTGCTATGCAGGTGGTGTGACGTGTTTTCTTACTATTACCTGTTATGTCATATTTCTTGAAGAGATGAAAAGTTTGATTGATAGACTGGGATAAACTCAACAAAATACTGTTATTTTTATGAGTTGCCGTGACGTCATTAATGTGGCGGCCATATTGGCTGCCATCTTGAATTTTATTTAAAATTCGTTTTTTGCTAAAATCTGTCTTAATGACATTAAATTTGAGAATTAAGTTTGAAGCATGCTATAATCAAATATTTTTCATTTTTTGGAACTATGCTATGTGTAATTTTTTTTATAAAGAAATAACGCGCATATTTCTTAGAAGTGGCTAGCCTTATGCTATTTATGACGTCATATCGTGCTACCATAGCAACCTTCCATGACCAAATTTGAACGAAATTTGCCCTAGGAATAAAATGAGCAGTTGCTAAAAAGAAAAGGCCTTGGCTGAAAATCCGTTTTTGAAAATATTGGGCAAAACCTGCGCGCTTCTACCAATTCAATTGATGTTAAATTTCAAGTTCTAAATCTTCAATCTCTTTCTTGTTCTTAATTTGTTTCGACAGAGAAGAACAAATTAAGAACAAGAAGGAGATTAGAATAAAGAAAAAGAAATAGAGGAGAAAATATAGGGCTTTAAAGGACCAGAAAGCCGAGTAAACTGAAGCAGCTAAAGACGAAAATATATAGAAAATTAGATCAAGAAAATAAAACAACTTTTGAGAAACAAGTGGGGCAAGTAAATATATTACTTAAAGTAACAGACTAATGAAAAGATGGGAAATAAATCAAGAGTTGAAGAAACTGAAAAAAAGAGCAGTGAACTTATAGTTTATGTCCGAGTTAAATAAACTTGCAGGTAGATTTATTTACAAAGGATGCTGGGAAAAAAAGAAGGAAGTAATAGAAGGGTTTAAAAAGTAAAAAAACAAAAAACACTGAAACAAATTTTGGTTGGGATTTCTTGATTGTTTTGTTGGTTTTTTTTGTCTGATTTTCGTATCTTGTCTCTTTCTGACTACTAAACATGGCCAAAGAAAAATGATTACAAAAACATTCAACTTTCATTTGTAAAATCCTAAGAAATATTTGATTAATCTATGCAAGACTCACATAAAAAAGTTCCATGGAAATAGTGACACTTAAGGGCTTCTTCCACAAATTTAAGAGTTAGAGTATGAAAATATCACGCCATAATGTGGTCTAGGAATAAAGGGGTTAATTGTTTTTTAAATATTTATTTCATTTAACGCTCCACTTTACCTGCCCTCGATCAGCAACAGAGCTGCTTTTCATGGTAGAAGTTATAGTTTCTCTTCTTTGTCATCTTTGTTCCTTCTTTCCTTATTTTATGGATAATATCATTTGTTCATTTTTTTCCTCTTTCAGCGTTTTCAGGCTCTTCCAAATGTCTTCGTCACTGTTAGTCACCAGGTTCTTAAAAGACCTCAAGACGCTTTGGCCCTGTGGGTAGATGACTTGCGCAAGGACAGTTTTAAACTCTGCGCCAGAGAAATTAAGAGTTTTGATGGCATTCACAAAAATATCAAAGTCGTAAGTAATCATCCAGATAATTATTTTCTTCGAAAACTAATTGTTTTGTTAGTAGTGGTGTCTTTTGGAACTAAGTAGAAATGCACGAACTCGTAACCATTGAACAAATTTTATGCACTGTTATGTGGCTTTTCATTAACACCAATATAGATTGTTTTTCGCACAAAACAGTAAGCAAACTCTACAATAGCTTATTCAAAATTGCCACGGCTCAGTATCGTCATCCCCTGTAACCGTAGCAACATTTTGCAACAAAATTTGTAAAAATGTGCCTGAGGAAGAAATGAACGTTTAATGAAAACGTTGATGCTCGATTATTTTTCTATCTCATCAATCCCCCACTCTCCTTCTTGTGCATTTGAGAGCAAAGCAAATATTAAATAAGTGGCGTTGTTGGGTACCCTTGCTTTGCTTTCTTCTTGGTTTGAAAGCATAATGACAGTAAGAACAAGTGTTACATTTATAGGCTCAAAATTCTTGCTTCATATCTTTACCTCTTCCCTGCAGGATTGGATGGCTTTTACTAAATTGAAGACTGACAATTTCACCTTGACTGATAGTCTCGTGTTTACAAACAACAACTCACCACCAAAAAAACAGGACAACAACGCTATTTGCCAGGTAGTGCCATTTGACTCGTGTTTTAAGGCTTGCCTCAACCAATTTGTGGGCTTTAATTTCAAGTAGAAACATTTCTCTCATCTTCACTTGGTAAGCAGTTTGATTCTATTTGATGCGGCTTTTCATTGCCTGTCTAAGTCACGTGACTGGCATTGGTCTCGTAACGGTCAAAATGTTTCACCGAAAATGGGGAGTACATAGTCAAACTGTATTCTCCTTATTTTATCGTTTTTCTATGGCTTCTAGCCAGAACTTTAGTGTGCCTGCTTTCAATTATGTGCATGCATGCTTTGTCGGAAACCGTCAATTAAGAGCATTTCCATTTTCCTGTTTTTAGTTGGTAGGAGGAATGAGAAAATGGATGTTAAGGTAGTTTTTCTTGGAAAGTGATTACCTATTTCTTATGCTATTTTTTTTGTTCTTGGTTTCAGAAAGTCAAGTTCCAGGATGCTTTTTATGCCCCTCCGGTTGTAGTGGTGTCTCCAAGACTTGGTTACAATAACAACAAATCACGTTTCTCAGGATCCGCACCATGTAACTTAGTTACTGCCTGGGTTGAGGTTAGAAATATATAGTCTGCCTATTCTTCCTGTGGTTCTAATAGGGAGAATTTGTTTAAAATTAAAGAAATGTTGTTTTTACCGTTGTCCTTATACTCACGTTAAAAACTTAGATTTTTGCAATGACGTATAGCGGGGTATGTAAAGCGAATGAGGGCTATTTAACTGGTTTCTCATTTTTATATAATTATGGCACTGAAACAGCCTTCCTGAATGATAGTACATTAAGCTATTTTTAAGAATAATAAAACCAGGCTTTCCGCAAAGGAAACGCTCTTAAGAACTTTTGTGCCGACTTGTGCGTTGGAAACTGATTATTTTTATAGTTTTGTATTCGTTTTGTTCTTTAAAACAAAGGTGTAAGATCTAACAGGTTCTTAACAATTCAGTATACGCGATTTCTTACTCTACTTGCACTAACCCTTGGTTTAACCATCAATAAATCGACAAGTCAGTTGAAATTTGAAAAAAAAATATTGTATGACTTTTTTTGTTTTACTAAAATACATTGAACAGATTTACTCTAGTTCAAAAAAATGCTATATTTTGTGAAATGTGAACTTAAGTATTTCTTTCGCTGTTTTGGAACATGCTCAGCATACATCTACAAACGAAACAGAAGTGTGTGTGAGAAGCTACAACAAGGACGCCAACGATAAGGGTATCATAAAGGTCGATTATATGGTAATTGGAGGTACGTGATAAATTATGTAATGTAAAATAAGGTAAAAGCAATGACTTTTATCTGTAGACAATCAAGGTGCTCTCCTAACAATAACAATAAGATAATAGTGATTAACTGGACAATACTAAAATACATATGTTTAATTTTGATCAAATTTTATCCTAAATTAAAGTTTTTTTTCCTTTGTTTCAAATCAGTCAAATTATAAATTACCAAGCTCCAAAACAAAAGAAAGTGAGATTAAAGGCTAGGTTAAAATTCAGCAATATACGACATATATAGAAGCGCTCATGTGCTTTAGGCTGTGGTCACATTATACCAGATAACGAAAAGCTATAGCGTATAGTATAGTGTGTGAACACCTACATGTATCCAACATCTGACTCTCGACTTTAGAGATCGGCGAGGCACAATTGCAGCCTCTCTTTGTCACAACCGCAACAGCTGTTTTTTCGTGTGTGAACAGAAGCCCTTTTCGATATGATTTTGGTGGCGGCGCAAAAGCTATTTGTTATAGTATGAAATTAACCTTAACCTTTACCCAGTTCCCTGATGACTAAAAATTCCAGGCTGTTTTATTTACTGACAAATTCGAAATGAATGAATCTGAAATGATGCACTCTGATTCCAACACTTGTATGTTTGTCTTTTAGACTTGGATCCTTGTATAGATGTAACATGTCATTATCACAGTCTGTGTAAGGCTTTTGGATCTGATGATGCACGCTGTGTTTGTTTGGACAGCTGTCCAACTTACAAAGAACCCGTATGTTCATCCAATGGCACAACATACGACAACAAATGTCTGTTTGAACAGGAAGTTTGTCTCAATCGACTAAACTTTACCGTACAACATCCTGGCAGTTGTGAAGGTCAGCAGTTTTGTTGCCTTTTTGTGGTGGTCAACGTGCACCTTTTCACCGAATCCTGTTAACCTTGTTGGACTGATAGTAAAATTTTCTTTTACTTCATTTCCGTTTACTTTGCCATTCTTCTTGGGGAAAAGTTATTGCGTCAACAAGGGATTTAATTTTGTAACATTAAGCCTATAACTTGTCTTTGCAACTCCTTTTTAGGATTTCCTCTTCAGCGTGGTCGCCTTCACATGGCCCATATTCCATCTCTGGGTTATTCTCACTGTCAAGTAATCCCTTTCGAGCCTTTTGTGTTTTACCCTGACAAATCCATTGAAGTGCAGATAACTGTCAATCATATGGATACCAGTGACAAATCATATGTCCATGACGCGGCGGTATCGTGGATTGAAAAGGTCAATAACGGCGGATTTACTGCCTGTGTGATGGCAGCCGGATATAACGAACGAACGTCGTATGCTAACGTGACAGTTGATTGGATGGCGTATCAAGGTGCTCCAATGGGTGGTGTGACTGGTGAACTGCGCATGTCACAGTGGTGGACAGGGACGACTTGTGCAACTGTCAAATTTCCCACTGTAAGTTGCCCTAATCTATTTCTGAACGCTCTCTTTTTGAAAGCTTTTATGGTTATAAACATCATTCACGACAGTTGAACTTTTAGAAGTACTGTCAAATTACAGTTCAGGGTGCTTTATAGTTGTGAAAAAACGCTAAAAAATAAAATAGTAAATGAAATAAAATATAAAGTGATCGTTCTTTCACTAATTAACCACATTATGTAAATTCGAAGAAGTGTAACATAACGTTCAAACTGCCGCTTTTAATAACTTTGCTAAATCTATAAAGATCACCACTCTTTCTTTGAATTGTTAATAAAGTGGATAAACAAAGAAATAAAACATAAAGAGATAAATAAGAACAGATGATAATAATTTTAAATACAAGCATTTTATCAGAATGACAATTTTTCTGTGCTATTTGCAGAGGAAATTTTCAGTCAAACCTTCAGTCTTTGTGACGTCAAAGCATTACAATCTAGGACTAAAACGTGACGCTGCAAGTGTATGGATTGAAGATGTAACAAAATCATCTTGTAAAGTTTGTATGAGAGAACTGCAGAATTATGCTGGATCGCACCAAGATATTTTTGTGGTAAGTATAATGTATCCTCTAGTGAATGTCAAACATGGATCATGCATTGGGCTGCCACCGGCTTTATAAGTTACAGGTAATTCTACGGATACCCTTAAAAAGAACAGCCCGTAGTTATCATAGGTCGAGCAACTCTGCAAATTCATCTTAGAATTAGTTATTAAAAGGCGCCATTCTTCACCTTCACACCTCATGCCCATTACTTTTTGTTATTTATCTATGCATGCCGGTCGATAAATGAGAAATAACGAGTTGTTGATTTTATTTTCAGAATTGGCTAGCCTTTTCGGATCTTCCCAACCCTCTCTTTTCAGAACATAACTCGATCTACTTTGCAAGTGATAAACCTCCCAACAGAAGACATTATAATGCATTTTGCAAGGTCAGTATCAGCGTTTGAGTTTGAATCCAAATCTCAGTGAAAAAGCCTTTTTTTACCATCTGATGGTAGTTATCAAATTTTAATTTCAGACCATTAAAGCGAAGGTGTTTAACCTGTAACAGTCTTAGCAATGTACATAATACTGACAATTCCACAGGTCACACATTCGCTATTTCTATACCTCAGTCACCTCTATGATGGAGTCTGTCCATTTGGTGTTTGTATGCATTGAATAGTTTTAAGAATTAAATGAAGTATTCTGTGAAAGGAGAATGATAGAGCAAAAGCACAAAACCCTTTTGAATGGCAATTTCACATTATCAAAGGTTTAAAGTTTAGTTGCAGCCTATGTTTCAAAGGGCTTCTTGTGCCGAGCTGAGTGATTTCAACTAACGTTGGCCTCAAAATCTCTTTCGTCTTACTGTATTTGTTTCCCAGATTTGAGCTTCTCAGTTTGGAAGTGTACTTTATGTAGTGCCAGCCCAGTTTAAAGCCATTAAAGCCAACGTTCTCAAATTTCACGTTATTTCCCTTTACCCGTCTCTAGTCAAGGACACTTCAAGGTAGTATCTATGAACAGTAAAGTAAGATTTAGTTTTCCAGACCTTTTCAGAGGATTCTATCAATACAAAAAAACCGTTGGATTTGGAAGTATTCTCTCTAGTTTTTTCTTAATTAATGAATTATCTGTCTCTATAACTTGACTGTATAACCCATAGAGTGAAATGTAAAAAAGGCGTGTGTGAAGTAGACGATAAGGATTCTAATCCCCTTCCAGTTGCAAGAAATATTTTCTTTACCTTTTATAGGAGGCAATCTTTGCCAAAAGTTATAACACAACGCCACACGTCTTGGTTTCTGCTTCTCACTCGACAAAAGGAGGGAATCAAAGTCCAGTTCATAACAGCATAGCTGCGTGGGTAGAGGTTAGTAACTAGTGATGTCAGGATATCAAATTTCTTATTAAATTAAGAGTAGTATAGTAGAGAACTAATTAACCTTTTTTGCGGACGAATCTCGTTATTCTGCTGAGGAATACATAAACACCGATGATGTTATGACCTTTTTTCTTTATTCCTTGAATAGTAACCTGTGAATAATCGTAATAATAATGATTATAATAAGAATAATAATAATATTATTATTATCAAGCGAATTAATTGTAAATAGGATTTTAGTAGTTAGCATTGTCGTCAATAAAATTTAAAAAAAATTACTATATTCATAATCATAATCATAATCATAATCATAATCATAATCATAATCATAATCATAATCATAACATATTTAACCAGGGTGAACCTGTCTGTTAAAGATGTTATAACTGGGGAGAACGATACCATTTTCAGCACTGAAGAATACAGGCAACTACTACAAATAAAGATAAAAATAAGTAGATACAGGTGTATACTGGTGCTTGGGCACCAGTGAAAAGAGTGCCTTTCTTCGCAGATTCTGTGCGTCCTGTAGAAATTAAAGTATCTAAATATAGGTGGAATCTCATTAACATAGGTCGTGTGTCATTTTAAGGTGGTTTAACCGGTTTTACACTGGAGCTTTCTAGATCTTCTTAGGGAAACAAATGCGTTGCTTTTTGATTGGTTGACTAAACAAAAATAAAGTATTCATTTGTTGATTAGTGCTGTCAAAGTAACAAGCGTTAGATCCCCTTTGACATGAAATCGCTGGGTAAGTATCCAGTTCTGCTGCTTTCATTGCCCAACAATTTTTTCCAGTTTTGATTCTTGGAGAGCAAATCGTGCATATTGATGAGTTCGAAGACAAACTAGCTCTTTCTGATAACAGACCGAATTGTTAACTTACCCGAGTCCCCCTTCTCCTTCTCCACAATTCAGTTTTTTCGCTTCACCTTCTTTTTTTGATTTTCCTTTCAGCACGAACACCACCACCACAGCCTCCACAACCACATTTTCATTGTTTTTCGGGTCCTCCTCCACTACCATATTACTATTGTATTCCTACCACCACCACCTTTCTATTGTTTTCCCTCTTCCTCCACCACCACCGCCACTGCCACCACCAAATTTCTATGTTTTTCCGCCCTCACCTCCCCACTATTATTGCATTTCTATTGTTTTCCCTACTCCACCACCACCACCACCACGTTCCAATGCGTATTTCCACCACCACCACCACATTCCAATGCGTATTTTAGTACTAATGTTTAGTGCTTTTACATGCAGTATATTAGCAGGAAAGGCTTTCGGGTTTGTGTCAAAGAACTGTATGAGGAAAAATACGACCCGCTCTTCATATCCTACATAGTTTTGTCAGGTAAGAACTTTACTGCTTAAAAGAGAAGATTTTTTACCGTATATCTATCAATATTGTCTCTTATTTGTGATTCAATACCGTGATTTATACGCACAGATATCTGTCCAGTTGGATGGGATTACTTCAATGGATACTGCTATTTAACGAGCTCTGTATGCGCACCTTGGGTGACTGCAGTGTCCAACTGTTCAATGATGAACTCACATCTGGTAACAGTGCACAACCAAGAGGAAAATGTGTACATACAGCACCGTCACAATGGCGAGCGATCATGGATTGGCCTCAATGACCGAAGCATCGAGGGATCGTTTGTGTGGACAAACAAGGAAATAATCAGTTTTCAGTTCTGGGCTCCGCAACAACCAAACAACTTGAAAAACGAAGACTGTGTCCACGCCCTTGGTGCAGAGGATGGCTATACTTGGAACGACGTGTCATGTGATAAATGCTATAACTATACTTGTGTTAAAGGCAAGTTTTGAGTTACCATAGAAATACTACAAATCCAAACCTTTGTCACCAATAACGAGGTTTGAAGATCACTTCTGCAGTAGTGAGTTTTTATGATAATTTTATCGCCGTGGTGTTGATCAGAATTTTATAAAGTCTGCATTTTATGGAACTCTCTTCCAGGCAGTAGTCTAAATATTTAGGTAAAGGTAAGCCCTGTACTTATCACTCTCAGTTATTCCCCCCCAAAAAAATCCTCATGTGAATGATAATACTGCTTCCAAGTAGGATCACGGTGATAAAATGGTCTTCATTGACTTTTGTTGTCTACTGTAGACATTGACGAATGCATCAGCAATTATCACAGGTGTGATCCAAACGCTGCTTGTCAGAATACCGTGGGCTCATACATTTGCACCTGCAAAGCTGGATTCTATGGAAATGGAAAAAGGTGCTTTGGTAACTATCGCAATCCTTTTTTATGTTTTCCCGACCTTTGCATTCTGGTTGGCTGTTGAGTTAACATATATTTGCCTTTTAAGGTAACTAAGGTTCTACATTCTTATCCAATATGTATGGATCAGAACTTACCAATAAACTAAAAACTAAGAATTACGATGGGCATTCTCGATCTTTCTTTTGAAAATTAATTAGGCACATAGAATATCTGCTAATAGCACGTTTAGTGTCCTATCAGCTTCTTCTGGGCTCAGGTTTGACATTTAATGTTATATATCATCAAATTGACTGGGACTCGGCGACATGTATAACGTATTTTACAGAATACTATCAACGTCTTACTTTAGAACCCTGGTTTACTAACTTAGAACAAACGCCACTGAATCGTAGCCAACAGTTACCAGTGCCGTACAAACAACTTTTTGACGAGATCAAGCAAAACTAACTACGAGAGAACGACTGGAGAACTGACAATTTAACAAACAATAGACGGCTGTTTAACTGTGACCATAGACGGATCGAAACGCACCAATTACTTATTACGAGACTTCATAGCCAATAACATCACGGCTTAACTGACAGACGACCAATAACATCGCGACGTAATTGACCAATCAGTTCAATAACCAGAGTATGATACCATCAACTGACGTGATACAACTCACTTTGACTCTGAAGATGACTACCGCACAGGTTGTCGAAACGTCAGTCACTGTCAACAACAACGGTTCACCTGGACGATCAAACTATATTTTCTTTACCTTTTATAGGAGGCAATCTTTGCCAAAAGTTATAACACAACGCCACACGTCTTGGTTTCTGCTTCTCACTCGACAAAAGGAGGGAATCAAAGTCCAGTTCATAACAGCATAGCTGCGTGGGTAGAGGTTAGTAACTAGTGATGTCAGGATATCAAATTTCTTATTAAATTAAGAGTAGTATAGTAGAGAACTAATTAACCTTTTTTGCGGACGAATCTCGTTATTCTGCTGAGGAATACATAAACACCGATGATGTTATGACCTTTTTTCTTTATTCCTTGAATAGTAACCTGTGAATAATCGTAATAATAATGATTATAATAAGAATAATAATAATATTATTATTATCAAGCGAATTAATTGTAAATAGGATTTTAGTAGTTAGCATTGTCGTCAATAAAATTTAAAAAAAATTACTATATTCATAATCATAATCATAATCATAATCATAATCATAATCATAATCATAATCATAATCATAACATATTTAACCAGGGTGAACCTGTCTGTTAAAGATGTTATAACTGGGGAGAACGATACCATTTTCAGCACTGAAGAATACAGGCAACTACTACAAATAAAGATAAAAATAAGTAGATACAGGTGTATACTGGTGCTTGGGCACCAGTGAAAAGAGTGCCTTTCTTCGCAGATTCTGTGCGTCCTGTAGAAATTAAAGTATCTAAATATAGGTGGAATCTCATTAACATAGGTCGTGTGTCATTTTAAGGTGGTTTAACCGGTTTTACACTGGAGCTTTCTAGATCTTCTTAGGGAAACAAATGCGTTGCTTTTTGATTGGTTGACTAAACAAAAATAAAGTATTCATTTGTTGATTAGTGCTGTCAAAGTAACAAGCGTTAGATCCCCTTTGACATGAAATCGCTGGGTAAGTATCCAGTTCTGCTGCTTTCATTGCCCAACAATTTTTTCCAGTTTTGATTCTTGGAGAGCAAATCGTGCATATTGATGAGTTCGAAGACAAACTAGCTCTTTCTGATAACAGACCGAATTGTTAACTTACCCGAGTCCCCCTTCTCCTTCTCCACAATTCAGTTTTTTCGCTTCACCTTCTTTTTTTGATTTTCCTTTCAGCACGAACACCACCACCACAGCCTCCACAACCACATTTTCATTGTTTTTCGGGTCCTCCTCCACTACCATATTACTATTGTATTCCTACCACCACCACCTTTCTATTGTTTTCCCTCTTCCTCCACCACCACCGCCACTGCCACCACCAAATTTCTATGTTTTTCCGCCCTCACCTCCCCACTATTATTGCATTTCTATTGTTTTCCCTACTCCACCACCACCACCACCACGTTCCAATGCGTATTTCCACCACCACCACCACATTCCAATGCGTATTTTAGTACTAATGTTTAGTGCTTTTACATGCAGTATATTAGCAGGAAAGGCTTTCGGGTTTGTGTCAAAGAACTGTATGAGGAAAAATACGACCCGCTCTTCATATCCTACATAGTTTTGTCAGGTAAGAACTTTACTGCTTAAAAGAGAAGATTTTTTACCGTATATCTATCAATATTGTCTCTTATTTGTGATTCAATACCGTGATTTATACGCACAGATATCTGTCCAGTTGGATGGGATTACTTCAATGGATACTGCTATTTAACGAGCTCTGTATGCGCACCTTGGGTGACTGCAGTGTCCAACTGTTCAATGATGAACTCACATCTGGTAACAGTGCACAACCAAGAGGAAAATGTGTACATACAGCACCGTCACAATGGCGAGCGATCATGGATTGGCCTCAATGACCGAAGCATCGAGGGATCGTTTGTGTGGACAAACAAGGAAATAATCAGTTTTCAGTTCTGGGCTCCGCAACAACCAAACAACTTGAAAAACGAAGACTGTGTCCACGCCCTTGGTGCAGAGGATGGCTATACTTGGAACGACGTGTCATGTGATAAATGCTATAACTATACTTGTGTTAAAGGCAAGTTTTGAGTTACCATAGAAATACTACAAATCCAAACCTTTGTCACCAATAACGAGGTTTGAAGATCACTTCTGCAGTAGTGAGTTTTTATGATAATTTTATCGCCGTGGTGTTGATCAGAATTTTATAAAGTCTGCATTTTATGGAACTCTCTTCCAGGCAGTAGTCTAAATATTTAGGTAAAGGTAAGCCCTGTACTTATCACTCTCAGTTATTCCCCCCCAAAAAAATCCTCATGTGAATGATAATACTGCTTCCAAGTAGGATCACGGTGATAAAATGGTCTTCATTGACTTTTGTTGTCTACTGTAGACATTGACGAATGCATCAGCAATTATCACAGGTGTGATCCAAACGCTGCTTGTCAGAATACCGTGGGCTCATACATTTGCACCTGCAAAGCTGGATTCTATGGAAATGGAAAAAGGTGCTTTGGTAACTATCGCAATCCTTTTTTATGTTTTCCCGACCTTTGCATTCTGGTTGGCTGTTGAGTTAACATATATTTGCCTTTTAAGGTAACTAAGGTTCTACATTCTTATCCAATATGTATGGATCAGAACTTACCAATAAACTAAAAACTAAGAATTACGATGGGCATTCTCGATCTTTCTTTTGAAAATTAATTAGGCACATAGAATATCTGCTAATAGCACGTTTAGTGTCCTATCAGCTTCTTCTGGGCTCAGGTTTGACATTTAATGTTATATATCATCAAATTGACTGGGACTCGGCGACATGTATAACGT